CTTGTAAACCACGAGAAGCAATATTCTTCATTAGAGCATCTTTATAGGATACTTTTAACGAATTCTTACTTTCGTGGGTGTTCGGCTGGAGTTTCCTGTCAGATTTATATGACATAGTTTCTGTAGGCTATAGTGGGGTAGCACATATGGGGTACAGGGTTTCTAGGGTTGTATTTGTACCCAATCTTCCATAGTCATTTCATTCCTGTTTTCCTTGTTTCACATGGTATAGAGCGGGTCCTACCTTAGGACCGTTTTTTTAGGGCCCACCGAAGCGCGCCTTTTTTTTAGCGACCCCTCGGGTCGCCCTTTCCCTCGCGGCCCCGCTGTCCCTCAGACGTGGCCCCGCCACCTCTCCTGTTTGACGCGGCCCCGCCGCCTCCCCTTACGCGGCCCCGCCGCCTCCCCTGACGCGGCTCCGCCGCCTCCCCTGACGCGGCCCCGCCGTCTGTTTGACGCGGCCTCGCCGCCTTCCCTGACGCGGCTCCGCCGCCTCCCCTGACGCGGCACCGCCGCCTCCCCTGACGCGGCTCCGCCGCCTCCCCTGACGCGGCCTTGCCGCCTCCCCTGACGCGGCCTTGCCGCCTCCCCTGACTCGGCTCCGCCGCCTCCCCTGCCGGCCCGCCGCTGCTCCTGCCGGCCCGCCACTGCCGGACAAGCTGTCCCCTCGTGCTGCTCCCTGTGTCTTCCTTGGCTTCCCCACTGACGCCCCAGGGTGGCAGTTTTACCACCCCTCCTCTCGTCGTGTTCTGTCCTCCCAGGACGTCACGTTCGACGAGTCAGTCCCCTTCTACCGTCTCTTCCCCTACCGCACTCCTTCCCTCCCCCCTCCCCCGGACTTCCTTGTGCCGATTCCCCCCCCGGTAGACCCCCTCCCCCCTCAGGTTCCTGCCCCCTCAGGTGTGTCCCAGGTAGATGCCGTTGACCCGGTCGAGGTTACTGGTGACTCTGGTGCTGCTGCGGGTGCTGAGCCTGGGGGTGCTGACTCTGGGGGTGCTGTGCGCGGGGGTGCTGAGCCTGGGGGTACTACTGCTGGGGGTGCTGGGCCTGAGGGTGCTACTACGGAGGGTGAGGAGCCTGGGGGTGCTGAGCCTGGGGGTGCTGTGCCTGGAGGTGCTGGGTCTGGGGGTCCTGGGTTGGGAGCTGCTGAGCCTGGGGGTGCTGAGCTGAGAGCTGCTGAGCCTGGGGGTGCTGCGTCTGGAGCTGCTGAGCCTGGGGTTTCTCCTGCTGCTGCGTCTCGCCAGGAGCCCCTCTCTCCACAGGAGCTGCGCGAGTGGTTCGCTCGCCGCTGGAGGCGTGCTGCTGAGTCTGGAGGTGCTGCTGGAGCTGGAGCTGGAGCTTCTTCGACTGTCGAGGGTGCGGGTGCTGCCGGTCCCGGAGCTGCTGGACCTACTGGTCCTCCTGGAGCTGGAGCTGCTGCGGGCGTTGGTGCTGAGCATACTGCTGTTGGTCCTGCCGCTGGAGGTGTGGGTGGCGCTGGTGCTGTCGCTGAGGGTGCTGGTGCTGTCCCTGCTGAGTCTGGAGCTGCCGCGCGGCCTCGGCCGTACTTCGTTCCGCTCCTGCAGCAGGTTCTTGGTCTTTCTCCTCCAGTAGAGGGTCCACCGCCTGTCCAGTCGCAGTCCCTGCTGGAGCCTTCCTCTCCACTGCCTGCTCCCTCTCCTTACACTGGTCCTACTAGAGGTCTTGCTGAGCGTCGTGAGCCTGCGTCTCGTCCCGCGTCGCCGGTTCGTGCTGCTCGCGCTAGTGGTCGCAGTTCGAGTCAGCGTCCTCCTCCTGTCCCTGGCACGCACCGGATGTCTTTGCGTCCGTCCACTGCTCCTCTGCGTGCCCCTTTGCCTTCTCCTCCTGAGTCCTCTCTTCCTGCGCTTGCCGACCCTGAGTCGAACTCTCTTCGTGCTGCCAGTCCTACTGTCACGCGTCTGCTTGCTACTGTCGTCACTGACCCCTCTTTTGAGTCCACTGCTGCGTCTGCTCTAGTCGCTGAGCTCGTCGACTTTGCTGCTCGCTGTCGTCTCGACTGCGCTGCTAGTCTTGTTGCTGAGTCTGCGTCTTTCTGTCCTCTGTCCGTCGGGGGTGAGTGTGCTCTTGGCACGGACGTCCTAGAGGACAGGCAGGAGGAGTTACAGTGTCTAGCGGCTGCTTCACCTCATCTCGCGTCTGTACTGCTTGCCCCTGAGGGAGACCCGGATGCACTAGACATCCCGACTCCGCGTTCTTACGCGGAGGCCGTAGAGGGTCCCTACTCCTCTCAGTGGCATGCAGCTATGGATGCAGAGATGGCTTCCTGGAAGTCCACAGGCACCTACGTTGACGCGGTTCCCCCTCCTGGGGCGAACATCGTCAGTGGCATGTGGATCTTCAGGGTGAAGCGGCCGCCGGGCTCTCCACCTGTCTTCAAGGCACGGTACGTTGCTCGTGGCTTCAGTCAGCGGCAGGGAGTTGACTACTTTCAGACCTTCTCTCCCACCCCGAAGATGACTACTCTTCGGGTGCTGCTGCACATAGCCGCTCAGCGCGACTACGAGCTTCACTCTCTCGACTTCAGCACTGCGTTCTTGCAGGGTAGCCTGCACGAGGAGATCTGGCTTCGCCGTCCACCTGGCTTCACTGGGACTTTCTCTCCTGGCACCCAGTGGAGCCTCCGACGGCCAGTCTACGGTCTCCGACAGGCACCGCGTGAGTGGCACGACACACTGAGGACTACGCTTGCGGCTCTTGGGTTTGCTCCTTCTACTGCTGACCCGTCGCTGTTTCTTCGCACCGACACTTCCCTGCCGCCGTTCTACATCCTCGTGTACGTCGACGACTTGGTCTTTGCCACAGCGGACACTACTGGACTCGCATACGTGAAGTCCGAGCTGCTGAAGAGACACACGTGCACAGACCTGGGTGAACTGCGCAGCTACCTTGGCTTGCAGATCACTCGGGACAGAGCACGCCGCACCATTACCTTGACTCAGTCACACATGGTGCAGCAGGTCCTTCAGCGCTTCGGCTTCACGTACTCCTCGCCTCAGGCCACTCCTCTGCCTACTCGCCACTCACTCTCAGCTCTGCCTTCGGATGAGTCCGTAGAGTCGAGTGGCCCGTATGCAGAGCTTGTTGGCTGCCTCATGTACCTGATGACCTGCACACGACCTGACCTTGCATACCCTCTGAGCATTCTTGCTCGCTATGTTGCTCCTGGGAGACACAGACCAGAGCACATGGCTGCAGCGAAGAGGGTATTGCGCTACCTGTGCAGCACGTCGGGCATGGGGCTAGTGCTTGGAGGGCGGAGTCCAGTGGTCCTTACCGGCCACGCGGACGCTTCTTGGGCTGACGACCAGGCTACGCAGCGGTCGTCACAGGGTTACACCTTCAGTCTTGGTTCCGGCTCTGTCTCGTGGCGGTCTACTCGCTCGTCTTCGGTTCTCGGCTCCAGTTGTGAGGCTGAGATCTACGCCGGGGCCATGGCTGCACAGGAGCTTCGCTGGCTCACCTACCTGCTGACTGACCTTGGAGAGCCGCCTCGTTCTCCTCCAGTGCTGTATGTAGACAACAAGGCCATGCTGGCCTTGTGTCGAGAGCAGCGCTTGGAGCACAGAACGAAGCACATTGCTCTCCGCTACTTCCTTGCTCGTGAGCTGCAGCAGCGTGGTCAGTTGCGACTTGCGTACGTGGCCTCTGAGGCCAACACTGCTGATGTGTTCACCAAGGCACTCGCGCCTTGTGACCATCAGCGCTTTTGCACCTAGCTGGGTCTTGTGCGTGTCTTGCCTCACTTGCTCTCCTCTTGACTTCACTTGTACTGTTACATATATTTATACCTGCTCTTGCTTGTCTAGTTCTATATATATATGTCTGTACTCCTGCATGTGAACTGGCCTCTGGCCCTGCTCTTGTGCTCGGACTGTGTGGTGACGTTGTGATCCACCCTTGTTCTCCCCCACTTTGCCTATGGGGGTGTGTCAGATTTATATGACATAGTTTCTGTAGGCTATAGTGGGGTAGCACATATGGGGTACAGGGTTTCTAGGGTTGTATTTGTACCCAATCTTCCATAGTCATTTCATTCCTGTTTTCCTTGTTTCACATTTCCCGGTCGGTGCAGATTCTTTTTTCGCGGAGCCTCCATTCGCCTCGGCGATTTCCCCTGATGCCGATCGGCCGTGACGTTTTAAATTCGCGCCATCTTTTTCTCCTTTTTTCACCCGCTCCGAAGTCGCCACGCTGTCGCCTTTTCCTGCTTTCAGATCTTTACGCGATTGCCAGGTTGATCCGCGGCTACTGGCGATTCCCGTTTTTTGACTTCGGGGGTGCTCCACTATTTCCGTTCCGGAGTGCCGCACGTGCTTTCTTCATTTTGTAGCACGACAAAAACTGATGTCCTGCTGCGCCGCAAAATTCGCATTTTGTCGGCTGCTGCTTCGCGTCGTATTTGTCGATATCCATCGGTTCGGCGAACGTGGGGGGTGCCGATCGCTCCGTGCCGAATGTACGGTTCGGCGTGAAGCGCCGTGTTTCGGGTTGACTTCGAGTCAGCGCGTTGTATCGCTCGGCAGCACGCAGGATGTCTCTGTAGCTGTTGTAATTCGCCGCAATCACCTGCCGCCGAATCTCCATTTTTAATCCTTCGGTGTACGCCTGGGTTTTTTCGCCTTCGGTCAGGTCGGTGATGCGGTTGAACAGTAACTCCATCTGCTGCGTGTACTGTGTTACACTAATGTATTGCTTGTGTCGGTGTATCTGCTGCCGCGCCATGTAGGCTGTATTAATTGGTTCGAAACGCTCGATTAAATCTCCCCGAAACTGCTGCCACGTTTTCTCCCCGCGGGCTACGTCAGTGTAGTAAATCCATTCGAGAGCCGGTCCACGTAACAGTGTCGCTGCGAGCCGAATCCTTGCTGCGTCGTGTTGCGGGGTCGAATAGCCAATGGCCTCGAAGTAAATTTCGAGGGTGGCCACGAATCGCCGGACGTCGGATGGAGAACGAGTGGAGGTGGAGGCCAGACAGAGAGTTAGACGGGACCGCTGGACACGGCAGGACCGTGGAGGAGTGTGCAAGGACCGGACCCCCAGAGGGGTCAGCCAGAGAGACTGCCACTGGCCGACTGAGTGGCGAGAGTGTGGTGCAGTTGCGAAAGAAGGAGCGGGAAGCACCCGAGTCAAGGGTGAAAGTGTGCAAGGCCTGAGCCGACGCGGATCCTAAGAGAGTAGACTCACGAGCACGTGGAGCAGCAGACTCACTAGCACCTAGAGCCGCAGCCGCAATGCCCGGGTCGGGCGGAACACACAGGTAACAGTCACCCTCAGCATTAATGGTCACAGCATACATAGCAGCAAGCATAGCATCATAGTCAAGATCAAAGAGAGCAACCCCAGACCTAAGCAGATCACCTCAGCGAGGAAGCTCCGTGGCGTAGGGAAACTGTGCACACCAGGCGTCAGTCAGGCGGCCAAAACAACGCTGCGTGGCGTGCGGCCCTCCGCACGTCTCCCCACTTCGCCCGCCGGTGCGGAGAACGTAAACGTAGGGACGAGCACCCCCAGACCTCCCACGCCCAGTGTACCACTCACGAAGCTGCTGGGGCGACAGGGTCTCACAAGAACGCTGCTGCTCCTGGCGCTAGCCACCACCAAAGCCTCCACGCTGCACAGCGCCACCCCAACCAGCACCACCGCCGCCGCCACCCCCACTGCCGCTGCCGCCGCCGCCTCCACCCCCACCACCGCCACCGCAGCCCCCACTCGCGCTACCACCCCCACCTCCACCCCCACCCCCTCCGCCGCCTCCACCGCCACCACCGTGCCCCCACCGTCCCCTCCAGCACCCTTGCCCCCCTTGCTCCTGCCGCTGCGGCGCCTCCCACTAGGAGCAGTCACAGCCCCGACCGACTCAGTGCCAACGAGGTCGACAGCAACAACAGAGGTAAAAGTGGGCAAAACGGGGACGGGGGAGCACCCCTCAAAGAAAGGGGCACGAGGGTCACAACGAGAGGTTCCTACAGCGACTATTCTCTTCTCAGCTGCAAGGAGGCGCTCCTCGAGGAGGTCAACGGCGAGCTCGGTGGGGCAAAGGGAGAGGAAGTGGTCCTTGACTGAGCGAAGGGAGTTAGGGAGCCGGGTGACAAGGTAGAAGAGGGTGATGTACATTGGGGGGGGGGGTCTTGGAGCAGAACTCTGAAGGAAGCGCAGCGCGGTAGTGGGTGTCACTAGTGCGGAGGTGGGTAATGAGGTCAGCGACTATGGCAAAAGCGGCTAGGTCAGGGAACAGGTACGGCAGCATGAGGCGGCTGAGGGCAGCAGAGGCAGAGGAGGAGTAGCGCACAACAACAGCGTCATACAGAGTCTTAGCAGTCTTGTACTGGCTAAAGCGCGCGCGCTCAGCAGACGGCTGGTGACTACGAACAGCAAGGCAAGCGGCAGCGTCACGGGTGGTCCACTACAAGCGAACTGCACTGTCAGCATCGGCAGCAGGTGCAATAGAGGTGCCAGACGTGTGATTGAATAGCAAGACTCCGTCCCCAGAGTCGCACTGCAGAAAGAGCTAGACCTCGAAATCGACCGCTCGACCCTCAGCATTGAAGGTAAGAACACTAGGGCTAGCCATGGCGGCAGTAGCAGTAGCAGTAGCAGCAGCAAGAGCAGGAGCAGTAGCAGTAGCAGCAGCACAGGGTGGCGCGACTCGGCAGGGCGGCGCGGCTCGGTAGGGCGGCGCGACTCGGCAGGGCGGTGCGGCTCGGCAGGGCGGGCACTTAGAAGGGGCGGAGTAGGGCAGGGCCACGACAAGCCGGCAGAGGAGGGCCGCGACGAGGCGGCAGGGCAGGGCCGCGACGAGGCGCCAGGGTAGGGCCGTGACGAGGCTGCAGGGCAGAGCCGCGACAGGCCGGCAGGGCAGGGTCGCGTCTCGGCGGCTGCAAGGTAGGGGCCGCGTCGGGGCGGCGTAGAGCAAGGCCCCGACTAGCGGCGGAGAGCAGGGCCGCAACGAGCAGCGGAAGGGCAGGGCTGCGACGAGAGGCGGCAGGGCAGGGCCGCGACGACGGCTCGGGTGGGTCGCGAAGGGCGGTGACAGGGCTGGGCTGCAAACGGCGGCGAGGAAACGGCCGCGACGGGCCGTTAGGGTAAGGCCGCGATGGGCGGCGAGAGCAGGGCCGCTAAGGGCGGCAGTAGGGCGAGGCACGCGACGGCGCAGGTGAGGCAGGCGCGACGCGCGCTTCGCGCAGGGCAAGAATAAAAAAAGAGGAGAAACTAATGTGGTGGGCCCTAAAAAAAAAGTCCCCACTAGGGAACCTGCTCTGAAACCATGTCACAAAGTAAGGAATGAGAATGACTAGATTGAGAACAGTACAAGGTTTGTATAGGCAAAACCTAATAGGGCTGTACCTCATAAGGAGTGCCCCACTACAGCCTAGAGTATAGTTCTGACACAATCCTTCCAGCGGACGAGGAATTCATCCATCCGAAATCAATGCTGCTTGCGAGCATGATGGCTCAAGTCTATCTCAGATTCGACAATAAGCTCTGATGCAAGCATTGAGGTCGATGTCATCACAGTTGGCTGGTGGTTGAAAAGTACGGGTGAAGCAAGCTGACGTGGAATGATGGGTTGATGTACCACTTGATGAGAAATAGGTTTTGGGTGGTGACGAGCGTAATCAGGTGACTGGTCTAGAATGGGCCACGATAGTGTGGCTTTAATTTTTGCACGACGGCCTGGCATAAGTTGCGAGTGTCAATCATAATGTAGTCTTATGAATTGTATGTGACTGTGTAGCAGCGGCAATCGGCGTTCCTTTAAGTGATGACATTCGCATTTTTCATTGCCTTTGCTGCTCGCGTTCGGTAATCATGAAGAGTTTCAGGTGGTTGGACGAACTGTTCTGTAGACGGTGCTACAATAGCAATAACTGAATGAATTGATCAAGGAAATAACAAACAAGCAAGATATAGAAAAACTAACCCTAACCCCACAAAAGAGAGTACGCCTAAATAAGCAAGATAGAGAGAAACTAACCCTATCCCATAAATAGGTAGAAGCTGTAACAAATATAGCTTGACACACCCCCATAGTCTAGGTGACGGTAGTCCTATGGCAAGCAACACATAGAAAGGGTCACAGGACCAGTCACAAAAAAAGCAACGGTCACAAGACCAGTTCACAAGAACACAATAAATCTCCGGGTGGATTTCAAGATCACCACACAGTCCAAGCCAAGCAAGGGGCCACAAGGCTAGTCCACATGCAAGGTTATCGCAAATATAGAAGATGCAAGAGTAGAAGACATGCATCTCTACAGAAGCAAGGGGCCACAAGGCCAGTCCACAAGCAGATATATTTTGTAAACATAGAAAGATGCAAGAGTACAATGCAAAGCATCTCTACGCAAGCAAGTGAGGGCCTGTATATACAAGCCCTAGCTGGGTGCAAAAACGCTGATGGTCTCAAGGCGGCAATGCCTTGGTGAAGATATGTGCAGTGTTGGCCTCAAAGAACACACGTACCATGCGGGTCTAGCCACGATGCTGCAACTTACGCAGAAGGAAGTAACGAAGCTGGATATGCTTCGCCTTTTCAACTAGTCGGGGGTCCTTGCACAACAGGATGATAGACCTTTTGTTGGCGAACAAGACTGGGGGAGAGAGAGGCCGCTCACCATGGTCGGCGAGGAGGAAAGACAGCAAGCAAAGCTCCTGGGCGGCCATGGCCGTAGCGTACACCTCTGCCTCACAACTGGAACTGGAGACTGGCGACGCCCGAGTCGACCTCCACGAAACAGCTCCGGTCCCAAGACTGAAGCAGTAACTCTGCGTAGACCGCAGCAACTCTGCGTCGTCGGCCCATGACGAGTCCGAGTAACCTGTTAGTGTAACTGGCTGCTTCCCTCCAAGGACAAGTCCCATGCACGATGTACTCGCCACATACTTCGCCACCCTCTCAGCTGCGTACCAGTGGGAAGGAAGGTGTCTACCAAGCGAAACAAAGCGCGCTAGGATGCTAAGAGGGTAAGCTAGGCCTAGGCAGATGCAGGTCATCAGGTACATGAGACAACCCACCAACTCAGTGTTGGTGCAACCCTACCGTTTGCACTAGGCTTGTTGTCCGTGTGCGTGCATGCATGGAATGGTATGGGGGCATGAGATAATAAATATTTCATGCTAATAGTAGTGTGTACATGATGAGTCGTGATGTCGAATGTATGTGTGTCGAGTCAATAGCGAGTCATTGCTAGTCGCGTGTCTACGTCGTCGTTTGCGTGTCCCGTGCGGTTTCTATTTTGTCATTTGTGTGTGTCGCACGGTTTCTACCTTATCGTGTGTGGACGTTCTGCATGTCGCAGATGTGTGCAACAGACCCATCAAGAACTCAATGATGAGTTTATGGTGAAGAACCAGAGCCTTGTTTCCAAGATTCAAGTGATCGTAAAGTCCGCGAAAAAAGGTACACCTCAAGATAATGAGAATAGTTACATTATTTGTGTAGTGTAACATTTCACTTAGTGTAGGCCCTTGTGAAGGGTAGTTTCGAGACCCTTCGTGGTTGGGGACAGTGTGGCATTGTTCCACATCACTGTACCTCGGCTCTTAGGGTTTGTAGGAGCTGGGAGTCATTCCCAACTCCTTCCTAATTTGTGTTCTAAGACTATAGTGGCTGCCATAGTGCCGTTCGTTCAAACTGACGCTGTGTCATCCTTCCTTAATGAAATTGTGCAATCTAAATTTCCTAGTGTAGGCAACATTAACACGCTCTAGATCCATTTTGAAGAAGGTCATGTGAAGCCGTGACCAGAACGGTATGAACGTTTAGAGCCGGTTGTCAAACATATATGCTATAGTCTGTGTAGGCTGTAGTGGGGTAGATCATATGGGTTACAACACTTTTAGGTTTCCCTACTTGTACCAACCTATTTCCTAGTGCATTCATTCCTTGTTCTTTCACATGGTATAGAGCAGGTTCCTTAGTGGGAACGTTTCCTAGGGCCCACCGAAAATCGAAATATTTTATTTCCTGCCCGGAGCGAGCTTCGCCCCTGCCCGAGTCGCGCCCCGTGTGCCTGCCCTCCCGTCGTGTCCCCTGCCCTTAGCGGCCCGACGCGCCCTCTTACGGCCCCTCGCGGCCCCTTAGCCGCTCCCTCGCGGCCCCTCTCACGGCCCCTCGCGGCCCCTTCGCGGCTCCCTCGCGGCCCTTCGCGGCCCCTCTCACGGCCCCTCGCGGCCCCTCTCACGGCCCCTCGCGGAGCCTCCACGGCGCTTCGCAGCCCCTTGCGGCCCCTCACAGCCCCTCGCGTCCCCTCTCATGGCCCCTTGCGGCCCCGTCCCGACTCCCTCGCGGCCCCTCGTGGCCCCTCGCGGCCCCTTGCGGCCCCTTCGTCGCCCGTCGCGGCCCCTTCTCAGCCGCCGCAGCAGCCGCCGCCGCTGACAGCAGCCGCCGCCGCCGCCGCCGATACCAGCAGCCGCCGCCGCCGCTGCCGTGTCAGCCGCCCCCGCCCCTACCCGCCGCGGCACCCTGGCCCCTGGAGCAGCCGCCGCTGCTGCAGCTGCCCCTGGCCCCTAGAGCAGCTGTCTCTGCAGCAGCCGCCCCTCGCCTCTGGAGCACCAGTCCCTGCAGCAGCCGCGAAGCCCTCGCCCTGCGGTGGTAGCGGCCTCACCATTGCCGCTGTCGTACTCCTGCCCTTCTTGCCACTAGTGAGCACTACTGTTACTGCTGTTACTGCTGCTCTTACTACTAATGCTCTTTCTACTGCTACTGCTGCTCTTGGCTTGGCCAGATGCAGCTCCAGCGCCATCCGCGTGAGTCCCTTGCCCCCCATCAGCTTCGTGAGTGGTACGCTAGTTGGGGTTGTAGGGGTGGCCGCACAGTTACTGCTGCTACTGCTGCCACTGCGGCTACCACTGCTCCTGCTGCCCCTGGCGGTGGCCAGATGCAGCTCCAGCGACGTCTGCGTGAGTCCCTCATGCCCCAGCAGCTTCGTGAGTGGTACGCTACTTGGGGTTGTCGGGGTGGCCGTAGTGAGAGTCGTTCTGGCGTGAGTAATTCAGGAGCTGCTTGTAGTGGCCAGGTGCAGCTGCAGCGTAGTCCGGGCGCGGTCCTTTCGCCCCAGCAGCTTCGTGAGTAGTACGCTCAGCGTGGAGGGTCACGGAGTACTGCTCGCTGT